AACCAGTTGATCCGCGAACAAACTAGTCCACGGATCAAGTATGGCGCGATCCTTTCAAAAGCGTGGCCCTGCTGGGACTGGGCGCGTGGGAGGCGGGAATCCATTGTCAAGTGCACGCCATATTTGATCCACGGACTAGCTAGTACGCAGATCAACTTGGTTATAAGTGCGGCCTAAGACGGCAATGGCAAATGTTCATTCAGTGGCGGGTATCAGAAGGTGTTCAATGAGGGGATCATTTTCTTCGCGGTGTTATAAAACAAATATATACTCTCTGTTCAGCTGTACATATGCAAATGTATCATCTCATCACTTGTAATATGCTTCTCCAACATGTACACTGTATGACGATTGTTTATCGCAGTTATTATTAATAAAAGCGAAAGTAAACATGATAAAATCGTTTCTGTTTGTAGTCTTGTATAGACCAACCAATAGGAGGCTATAACATACTTGTAAGCATTTAACAGTTTCATACATGTATCAACTATATACCAATATGTACGCATATCGATAAACTCTCAGTATAAAGTAATCAATATAGTGTAATCAGTTTTGAGATATCGTTTATTACAGGTAAGGAATTATAGATACAATCACTATGCCTTACAGATTTCGTCCGTTTTAAGCAGCATTTAAACTTGTCCGTCAAAACGTTTTCGACAATTCTACGTGCAGTCGCTTTCTCTTCAGTCTTACTTTGTTTGTTTTTCTGCTTATCTAAGTTGGTTTTACCACAAGGTTTATACTCAGTTTTATTATACATCGATTTGGAAGGGCTGTTTATATGTCACTCTCCTGGGACTAAGTATGGAATCATTTTCTAGACACACTTTACTGAAATTGGATTCTGGTCTTCTATTAAATGAATAATTCGATCTTCTTGATCATTGTTTTTTTTCTGTGGCACCAAAGCAAAACATTGTTGTTTTGTTTCCTTTGTGAATGGACATAAATCTCAATTTACATGTTGATGACATGCCGTATTCAGAACTTGTTTACAGCTTGTCCAGAACCATGCTATATTTCAATTAGGCTTTAATTATACTTGGACTCGAAATTAGACATACTGATGTTTTAAATTTCCATGTGGATGGCGCCATCTGACGATTCCAGGATTCCCACTCTCAATGCGAGCAGAGATATATATTCCAGAACACACAAATGGCCAATGATAGTTCAATGTTGCAGCGTTAGTCTGTGGCCGAATTTTCGGTTGTCAGCGGTCATGCTCTTTTAAATATATAGCAACACAATAGGCCAGTTATGCAGCTTTAGGTTTAAAAAAAAGGTCAATTTCTATCTTTTAAGTAAAAGATCCATGAAAACCTGTAAGAATACATTGTGCCACATTGAATCAAACGCCTTAGGAGTTTTGTTAGGAAAATTACGAAAATACAGATAGAGGAGGCGAGCTCCATAAAATGGCTCTCATAAGCTGTCAACAGTCGATGGCATGTTTAAATCCCCCGACTCCTCAGAAATAATTGCTATGTTTCCAGGAAAAGGCATGGAATCAGACATACGTTGTTAATGTAGTACCTATGCTGTGACAGTTAATAACTAGCACGGGTTAAGACCTGCGTGTACATAACGCACCACGTTTTAATCAAGGTTGATAAATTTGACCTAAACATCAAATAAGATACTAGGGAATGCAAGCGAACGCAATCAGAAAACAAAAAAAAAACTTTTTAGATATCATTTATTACCGTCACAAATGAATTAGATTCGCTGTAGCTTTCGTTAGATCCGTAACACGCAGTGATTCGTTTGATAAGTACATGTATGTGCCTCATTTACGCGCCTGTCTGCTTTATTGTAATAAAAAGAGAAAGTGGAAAATGGTAATTTTTCAAATGTCAGTGCTTCAGACGGGCATTATGCGGGAGAGGGATTTTATATATCGGGTATCGGGGTAATGTACGTGGATTTTTTTTAAAGTACTGAAGAACCGTTTGAAAGCCAGTTTAGTGATTTTCAGAAAACGTAGTGCGCTGTTTTCGGTTGTACATAATTTACAGATTTTTTATTCAAAACCGAACCAAGACAAATGTAACTTGGTTACCTTTCATAACTATTTACAAATCAATGCGCTTTGAACGCCGCAAAAGATTGTGTTACTATAGTTCTTTCAAGACCGTTATTAAAATAGAGGGCGTTTTAGTACAACTATTGCGTGTGAAAACACTAAAACACTTTTGGCAAAACGAGAAAATCATTTTTCCAAGAAAATAATGACAAATGTGGATTTCAGCTGATCCCACGTGTTATGAAATGACGGTTAGTCGTGTGACTGTCTATCGTTATTATTTATTTATTTATTTATTTATTTATATATCAAGAGCATTGAACAAATTTGCTTAAATTGGTAAAATGTTTTGAAGATAAGAAATAAAATTATAACTCTAAAGTTCACTATGATAATTGTCACATTTCTTCTGGTAATTGCGGGCAGTAGCAATGATAAATTTGTTTGCCGAAGACGCGTGATAGAAACTACCAGGCACGGTGGTGGCCTTGTCTAGGAATGGCCTGCTATTCATTTTGGGAAACGTGGAACCTTATCGATGATGGTCACGTCTGAAGGCAGGTGCCATATGCTAAAGCTCTATTTGGCCGTTATTTTCTCTTCCAACATGACAATCATTTTAGCAAGAGTGTAAAACCACTTACTGTTGATGTTTATAAGCTGTTTTGTAAAAATGAAGAATGAATTCTGTTGTGTTAAGGTTGGACTGTACTCAAATAGGACTAAAAATAACCTTTTTATGGATAAAATCAACAGTAAGTGTTTGAAGGAAAAAATCCCCGAACCCCTTTTGTGGTACTTTGTTCAAGTATTATAATACCATTAAAATCATGTTTATAGCTGTCCAGGTGCCTGAGAAAATCAGGAAACCGAAAATGATGTTTTGCCAAAAAAAAAAAAAACAATATTACTTCACACGATAAAGTTGGACCTGTGTTTTAAGTATAATAAGATGCTATGAAGATAAATTAAATGAATGCAACAGGAATAAAAAAAGACCTTTAATTTAAGATAAAATATCCAACCTGCAGTATTACCTTCAGAATTTTCATATCCGCTGATTCGGATTTTGACACAAAACCACTGTAATAAATTGAAAATGATTTAACAAAATCATTATATCACAACTTTCAGAACACCACAGAGCACAGTGGCGTTCGAAGTGTAGAAGTATCACTTAAAGTGTGGCATTCGATAGATCAGCACTTGGATCTTGTTTCATACGCACATTTGAGACGGCTAAGGCCGAGATATATGTGATCACTTCGTGCACATGGCATTTTGAGTGTACTTATTGTCTTTACATACGAAAAAATAACAATCTGTCAAGACTCGACTACCTACTCAAAGTAGTAGTAGTAGGAAAGTCCCCCCCTCCTCCTTCATTAAGCTTGTTTACAGCCGATCACTCATCTTCTTAGTAATTCGGATGCTTGTTGATTAACTCGTGTGAACAGGCTTCCTCTATGCCATTCTCAAGCAACATTGTGAAGTCCAATGCAAATGTATTCATCAGCAACAAGATAATACTTTTCTGTGAATCAGTCATTGACTTCTTGGTTTCACAGACAAAACGTACATGTAAATTTTAACAAGACAGTTCATTTGCTTCTGTTACTGATCCTAGATACTGTAATCAAATGAAGAACAAGGGCGTAAAAGAACCAACATACATGACAAAACAAACCCTTATTAACGAAAAAAATCTGAACTAAGGCTACAAGAAATTGCTGGCAGGGTTTTGAAGTACTCATTGGAGTCATTATATATGCTTGAGACTGTGTTCGTGTATGTTCAGAAAAAGGAGAAATTTGAAAAACCTATTTTGCAATTTTTAACCCTAAAATCGCAATTATGACGTGATCGGTAAAATAACATTTGTAATATAAATGTAAAGGAAATTAATCAGTGAACACTGAATGTTATCTTTTAACCTAAACATGAACGTGTAGACAGGACTTTTTTGTCAAAACCCATCCCTAACCATAAAACGATAACCTATAGCCTGTTTAGTAAGTTATGGCTCAGTTTGACCAAATGCAGCAAAAACCGTCTCCGTCAAAAAATCTGTCAAGGCGACTAAGCTATATGAACGCGTAGACCAGTTAAACTCATCTTTGGTGACCATACCCAAAGTTGGAAGACGAATCTATTCTATTTGGTCACACTTCGATTTCAACAGCCTGGAGACTGGATTAACTGCATTTTATTAGATTGAATTTTGACACAGACTAAATGTGAATCAAAACACAGAGACAATTGTAGTATTCGTTTATATTTCATGAATTGGCATCAACGACATTTGGGGAAATAGAGACGTTTTCAGAACTCTGAACACCAGGGTGTACTTGGAGCGAATTAATTCAATAGCGGGCAGCGTGTGATAAAAAAACGGGGTCAATCAAGCAAGCCATCAATCTTTAACGCAGCCGAGAGTTCCAAGCACTTCATACTAAATTGCCTGGCCTTATAATTGGATAGTTCACTGCACAAGACTCATAGGTTATGTCGTTCTGTCTGGTGTTGGCACACATTGTTGACTGTATGTACATGTATACTGTTTAGACATCGCATCATGCAAGGTTTCTGGTGATTGGATAGCACCTGGTCATAACGTGTCATTGGATACTTCTGTCACAGAGCTATTAAAACACGTCATTGGTGTCGCGATGTCAGTAGGTATATGTACCGACACGAAGACGGCTGATCGACCAAGAGCAAAAATACAATATCTTCTGTAAGATTCTGTATTGGAAAATTCTTGATACAGGAGTGATATTATACACCCCAGTTTAAGTTTCAAGCAAACAGGGTTTGCTATATAGCGTATTTTTTGGGCAATTCAACAGCAATTGGTTGTGACATCACCATCTAGTTATAGGAACCCGAGAAGCCTGATAGGTCCTTATAGCAAAATTGAATTTGAACGTAACTTTAACTATTTTAATATCTGGAACTGCGTCTAAGGATGGAAACAAACTTCACTAGTGTGGTTTCATTGTGTTCCTGTCCGGGTCGCCCAACAAATGACAGCGAAGAATGTGTAGAAGGACTTTTTGAAAGACATTCATGGTTAGATATTCTGACCAGGTTTGATCCGGTGGCTGTGTACGCAGATCGTGTAATAACACCAATATGGTACATAATCGGGATATTTGGGAATGCGGTGTCTTTCACCATTTGGCAGAAACGTCGGATGCGAATGAACAACAATTCTGCTTATTATTTGTCCGCCTTGGCTTTATCAGATCTGTGTTTCCTGTTACTTCACATTTGTATGGAATTGAAGGTTGCCTGGGGACTTCGTTCGCTGGACCAACGGTATGTGTGTGAGATTTTCATGGCGGCATACTATCTGCCTCAGTACCTGTCGCCGATGCTCGTGCTTGGGGCAACTCTGGATAGGTACGTAGTAGTGTGCCTCCCATTCAAAGGTCCGTTACTTTGCACAAAAGCAAAAACCATTCAGAAATTATTTCTGGCGTTGGCATTTGCTTTACTTTTGTGTACTGCCCAAGCTTATCTATGGCAATACGACACGCAGAGAAAGACCTGTACTTTAAGAGAGGAGACCTTTCTTGGGCGGGATTTGGGAACCATATGGACATGGTGTAGCGAGATGCTGATATTTTTTATTGTGCCGTTGGTTATTCTATTTATAAATATTCGAGTGATTATTGCCATCTGGAAAGTGTCATTAGACGGACCCGTGGCTGTCAAAAAGACTGGAAACAATAAACATTGTGTCATCACCCGCCATGAAAGCAAAGGGAGTACGAAAATCACCTCCACAGTAATGTTGCTTTCTGTTTCGTTCTTTGTGATAACCCTTACCTTTCCTGCCACAATTGTATATGCCGTACATTATGCGGTTCCGCAGGGAAATAAATGCCTCTCAGACGAAGAAATTCGCACCGATTCAACTTGGCAGTCCTATTTTACCTACATTACTGCAAGGAAATTCGTTGAAGAGATTTGCCTAGCTCATCATGCCTGTAATTTCATCATTTACTACATCACTGGGAACAAATTCAGACTCGCATTTAGGAGACTACTCCAAACAGCAAAATCAGTGTTGTGTTCGTATAAGAGGGTGTGCGCACCTGGGTACGCAAAACCACTGGCCTTAGATGTCATTCGTCCGCACAATACGCGTAATACCAAATTATAGGTTTTATTGGAAGATCGATGCAAGTATTTGAACGGTGAATGTACAGAGCATTCTGCGGATCAATAACTTCTTCGCAAGAAAACACCAGTGACAAGAGCATATCTGAGAGAGCATCAGAAAAAACACTATAGATAAAACTTTTGTTTTTGTAAACATTAATCTCGTTCTATGTATTTCATAGATATCAGCTAATACAAAAGTTAACAACACAACTCTCTTTAATACTGTCTTGTTGGACATGATCCAGTGACATTTCGTCCAAACGAAAGTAGAACGATGCAAATAACATCAAGGGGAAATTTGGCCTTTAATCAACACTTTTGAAGTTGACAGGACACGAATAATCACAGTTATTGGGCAAATGCCTAACAGGAGTCCGTGTTTTACGTATTCAGTTATTCAAAAGACAAGAGAAACTATATGAGTCGGCAACTGCCTGAAGTGCTTGGGTTTCATTTGACTTTTTTTCACATGAATGTTGTATGCAAGAACTCGGTGTTTTTTCATCATTTGTAACAAAGAAACCTGAAATCGTTTCCACTCTTCCGCTGGGAAATGAGATGGCGTTATAATGCGGATTCTGGCAAAATCGGAATGATGCTTTGAATAGACTCCATTAAGATAAGAATCTTTTAATGCACACTTTATTGTCTTTTACTTTATATGACTACAGCGTAATAGTCTTTATTAGCCTGAAATGTAAAGAATACTGCCGAGCAATTATTATCATTAACTCAGTGATCAGTGAACGTGTTTTTTTTTTTGCCTTCGCTTGATATGATCAGAGGCCTGGTGTGCATTTAATGCGTTCAATTCTGACACAACGTATTTTGTCAATTTATCGTAGTTACTTTTCCTTCAATTTATTGCTGGCAGCATAACACAGCGCTTGAGTATTCATCATAGAGAATTTGGGATTAAAAACAATATGACCCCAGTCACCTATAATATGGTTCTATAAAACTAACGTCCCCTTCCATTTTTTGTTCAACCCTTAACTTCAAAGTGACCGTGTCACAGCCTTTTGTCTTTTTTGTGCCATGTCGCTGACTATCAATCACGGGGCTAAATTAATAAATTACTGATTTAATTAGCCTCAGGAGACAAGGTGACTCCTGGCTGACACTTATTCCCCACAGACTTCGGTTGCCTCGTTGCAGCCAACGTCTTTGCAAATGCCCTCAGATGAAATCAAGATGTTTGAATATCACACATATTTTATCAACGATCATTGTTGAAAACCTTTTAGAGCGGTTCATGAACAATATATTACTGTATGAGAGACTTGTAGATTGGTACTTGGCCTCCGTCAACAAGGGATGTTGACTTCTAAGTAAATCTTTGTTTGTCGTGCACGCCATAGTATCATGTATAAGATATGTGAAGACTAATAAATATCTCATGGCGCCAATTCAATTCTTCTTTTTTATTTAAACGTATTCGCGTCGTGCGGATTAATTTCACCGTTTTCCTATATTTGATTCCAAAGACAGTAAGAGATAAAGAGCATTTGTCTTTGCTTCTCAGTAGCATTGCATGACTAGTTGAATTGGGCAATGTATTTTATTTAAATTCAAAACGACGTCCACACTAAACGCAGGTTTCTATTGAATATAGCCTAGAGAGACTAGAATGCAAAGTTTAATGAGAATTAACGTGATTTTGACTGATAATATACGGTATGTCATTTAATCTTTTCTCAGATTATCTGGACACTCCAGTTGAATAAACCAAGGCGCTTACACGCAAAATTCAATATCCGCACAACTGTAGCGAACAAAATTTCCATTTTAGTGGTAGCATGGATTACAGCGACATGCACATGATTAAGTCATCCCTTCCGGTTTTCCACAATCTTCAAGATTTTTTTTTCAATATTAAAGGGATAACAACTCTTCGTATGAGATCTGTATTTCACAATGAATACATTGTAAACAACCCATAGAAATATAATATATTCTATTTTACCACAAAAACTTAAAAAAAAAAAAGGGACTTACTTTGAATGTTGAAATGGATTCATTAACCACTGGTAAATATGGGAAAATTGCTGTTTACCCCAGGAAAATTCATTTTTTGGCCAAAATGAATGGTTGTTATCCTTTTAAGCAAATAGATGAAGAGGTCGGGTATCAACTTAAACATCTAGGAGACCTTAGGGTTGAAAATATTCAATGTTTTCCTTTTTCAATTATCTTTTGATTGTCAACATGGCTGCAACATTCTGCGACCAAGAGGTTCGGCAAGTCGGCAAAACGGTATGGCTGTTCCACATCATCTCTTAGCATCTGTGAATTCTTCTAACAATCTTACTCAAAACGCGCACGAGACACACACCTGGTGTTGCCAACACAGGCTTTAAGTGTATTTAGATCCTACTTGTACCATAATAAAGAGCCTCTAATTTTAATTCATTAAGTAGTCTTGTATATGGTTGCATATCTGTTGCTCAGAGTGTATGGGTCTATTTTGTCTCTTATCCTCATGTAACTCATTGATTACGAATAACACGACACAAGTGGTTATAAGGATAGAAGATTACGAAATTTCCTAGAAACTTGTTGCCTGTCGCTGTGTCCTTTGTCACGACTGCATAGAGGCATTTTAGGTCGTGGTTTATTGCAGGGTACACATGTAGCCTGCGAGATAATATTGAGAAAAATGTTCAACAGCGTTCACTATGTTGTACAAACCTAGCTCCTACAATGACTGAGTATCGATTTTCTTGGGGTTTGATTTTGTCTGATCTGTTCATTATTGTCACCTCACATCCTGATCCCTAATAAAACGCCCCCTTAAGAAACTTCAATGAGAGAATTTTCCATCAGATCTACAAGTAAAAAAGTTATATTTAGACAACCCTCATGTCCAAGACAGATGATATATTGTTTTTATTTTGGTTGCTGTTATGCAGTCTTACGACAAAGAATCCCTGTTAAGCTCAATCTCATAGCGAGAAATAAACAACAGTTTCAATGACGCTGTATACAATGCACCAAAGTTTATTAACTATAAATGACTAAGATAACAAGTAAATGAATACTGGGTAAAGTAAGAAATAAAGTAGAAATAAATGAAAATAAATTTGACAACAAACGAATATTTAAAAGGAAAAGTTCAACAAATTTGCCTCCCCTCCTTTGTCGTTTCATTTACCTTGTTGACCCTATTCCCCATACGTACGGTTTCCTTTTAACTAAAGCAATGTTAACAGATTTTAATGTATTCCATAACTCCCGTAAAACACTGTCTATGAAAACGTTGTTCATCCTTTACTAAGCTTTATCTGTACGTGAGTTAAAACATGATGCGTTGGAACTCCTACCACAATCCCCTTCACAGACATCGCACTCCCAAGTTGTCTTCTTAGCGATTCGTCACAGAAAAAAATTTGAAAATCAATACAAATGCAATTGGACTATGGAAAGAAACAAACAAGAAACAATTTGTTAATATACTGACTATTTTTATTTGTCTTTTTCTCCAAGAACAAACACACGGCCTTTGACCCGTTTTTAGACAGATCTTTATGCTTCAATGATGTCTGTGTGACTCATATTATTGTACATATAATACTATTTAAATACACCGTATTTATCTGTACTAAACCATTATTCTGTTTTCCTTCAATTTACTGAGTGGCTTTGTTTACTAAAAAGACAAGTTCCTATAAAAAATCAGCATGATCAGATTCTTTTCCTTTAATATCTTTAGTGGTGTGGAAATGCTGCCTACACTGCAGCCACACAAATACAGTGCAATGTCTTCATCGTCTAGCCTCATCACTGATAGAAAAAATTATTTGGTGGCATCATCAGCTAAATTGATATAATTCTTTGGACTCTTTTGTGTCATTTTGCGAAGCGTTTGCACATTATACGTTTATTAATTCACTTTGGTAGCAAAAGAAAATTCGTTAAACCGAGGGAGAGGAGTGAGGTCTGCAAGAACCATTGCATAGACCTTACGTCGAAACTGGTGCCATCGTGTGTTTTCCGGTGACTCCATGTGCAACATAAACAGTGAGGACAGTGAGAGCATGGGGAACATCAGCCACTGCCTATTTAACAGAGAACGTGTCCGCACAACGCACAATAATAGTTTGGGGTGTATTGATTACTGGTACTGGGTATGGGAACCTCAATCACCAGCACAGCATTGGAATCCTGGACCAACACCTTTTGTCATTAATAGAAAACATTTCTGCGGACAGGAATCATCCGTTTATTTCTCAGGATAATAATGCCACACCTCGAAGGGACGGGGAAGACCACTAGCGGCTTCGCCAGCAATAAATCAACAGGATGGACTGGCTGGCGCAATCCCCAGTCTCACCCCCCTTTGAGCACTTGTGGGACGGTAGTAGAAATCAGGTGGCAAATTTTCTTCCCCTTTAACAAAAACACCCTAATCCACGGTGTCTTTAGAACTTAGCCCAACATAGCCCCCCAAAATGACTTCCTCCTCACGAGTCTTTGCCCTGAAGGGCGGTATCAATTTTGAGGCCATGTGGCTATCCTACAAAATATGTATGGTGATCTACATGTAAAAACATAACTTACATATATTTTAAACCTATTACCGGGTATATAGTAGAATTAGACCCCATTCGAATACACACCATTGGTCTACGTTGATCGACCCAACTCTGCGAGATCTCAATAAAATACAAACAAGAAAAAAATGGATATTTAACTGTCATTCAACTGAAAATAGCATGGTGCAAAACTCTTGTCATCCCCTGAAAGTTCCCCAAGAGACCACTTTTTAAATTGATAGGTAATATAAATAGATATTGTGATTGCTATAATAATAAAGCCGATTTGTATTTGTTGTCTTGTTGTCCGATTTTTTCTTGAATAATCCTATATTTATTAATGAATGGAATACCAATGTTGTAAAAGCACACCGCATAAATGCTGAGAAATAACAAAACATCAGACAAAAAAGTGAGATATTTGTTAAGTCTATTTGTAAAGGTTGACATTAAATTGGCCACTCATGTGCCACAGTCACCTACGCGCCTGCACTCTAAATGAACCGTTTACAGACACTGCTGTGACTAAAATACTCTTTATTTGGCTTCCGTTGGCAAGCAAGACAGGGATTCCTGCACTCCCGATGAACAGTTTACAAACATTGTCATTAACAACATTTTGGCTTCAGTCCTCAATTCACACAGCACCACGTATGGATACATGGACGCGTATATCCTTACTTAATATGCACGCAGGTGTATTTTACACAAGTAATTAGTTATTGCACTTGCATTAAATGTCATGCAGAAGCGTCGAGTGTATTAATAGTTTAATGAATTAAAATATATAAAACTAGACATCGAGGTTACGGAGAGTTAAATACCCAAGAAACAAATTTGATGATAACTGTGCAAAATGAATGCGAAAATCATACAGCAAACTCATCCTCAACAACAGATGCGGCCTGCCTTCGGAAATGTTCACAATTTTGTCGTTTTCTGGTCAGGCATTTATACACGTTTCTGAACCACCGCATTTATTTAAACGCTATAATCAAATGCACTCAACAGTAAGTGTAAAGCTGTTGTTATCCTATATGGGAAAACCATGAACAAACTCACAACAGGAAATTAAACGAGAGAGAGAGAGAGAGAGAGAGAGAGCTTTTACTATAAAACAGCAAATATGATTAGTTACTTAAAGGGATAATAACTCTTCGTTTCGGCCAAAAAATGAATTTTCCTGGAGTAAACAACAATTTTCCCATACTTACCAATGGTTTATGAATCCATTTTTACATTCAAAGTTAGTCCCTGGTTTTTTTCTAAAAAGTTTGGTTTTTTGTTAAAATCTCTTAAGAGATTTTAACAGAGTATAGCCATCAATGAAGGTCACGTGGTCTAAAGACAAGCTCAGACATCAGAATAATAGCTATAACTGCCGTTTTTGTGGTAAAACAAAATATATTATATTTCTGTGAGTTATTCAGTGTTTTTATTGTGAAATATAGATCTCATACGAAGAGTTATTATCCCTTTAAATAAAAATAATGAGGGAAACTGCACAGTCACATTCAAATAAGTCACAAAATTTCAGCTGTTTCTTTCAAAGCAAAATAAGATATAAAAGATTTTGACATGGATTTAACATGCACAATCCTCCATGTAGCACTATATATTGGATATAAGGAAACTTTACGTAACAGCGTTCCAAAAGACAACAAAATGTGCCCATCAGGTTCGAGAAAATTAACCAATCATGTTGATTTCCGAATTCAACCCGCTTTCAGTTTTTATCAAATATAGCTCCCTAGTAAATTTTAAGTACGACAATAGAACTTTGTCAACATTTATGAAAAAAAAAACAGCTTAAGTGAAGACAATTCCATCATGCCAATTCAGCCTTCCTTTTTACCAAACAAAACCTAGGAAAATCAAAGTAAAACAAATGTTGGGAAAATAGTGAATATTCTTGGAGAAGCTAAATGAATGAATTGGTTCTTGATAGAGGAAGCAAGAACAGTTTGCCAGTGGTAGGAGGACCGATTAATGATACTTTTCAAAGAATATTTAGACTAATATTATTTGCCTCAAGCGCTATGGTTATGGTTTCGGAATTCGCGAGAGCGCGTTAAGTGTATTTTTTACATGTTCACTTACTGACTTCTGTGCGGAGAGAATAAATTGCAAAACATACAAATCTCCCTAATATAGCGGATAATTGCTAGGAAATGAAAAGTTCGAGAATTTTTCTATCCAGGCCACTTGACATTTGGCAAGAGATTTGCGCACTTGTAAGTAGGCGTACTCACGGATGCAACACCAACAAATACGCAGTTATATTGTATGTAGTTTGCTGAACTGGTTATATGGCCCACTATCACTTTAAGGCTGACTTAAAGCAAAACGTATTTTACAACATATGATGTTAAACATAACAAGTCGAATTAGGATGAACAGAACCAAATAAATCTAACCTTAATATTCTAATTGAGCAAAATCAATATGAAATGTACGGTAGAATTACACTGAAGCACATTTATCGTAACAGCCCGCTTTATGGGCTTCGTGTTCAACTGTCTGGCCTAAGTGGCTATTAGTAAAAAGCCTTCTAACACTTTGTCGTGTGAGTAGCACTAGATGACCTAACAGACATCAGACAACTGTCATGATTCTTCGTCGACTGACATGACTGCATAAACTGACAATTTTTAACTTTGTTTATAAGGATGCCTCGAAAGCGTGTACCAGTGATGCAATAGATGAAGATATTACACGCATAGTGCGACAGACAGACTTCCTCAATAATCTTTCGTGCAGTTATGAAGGCAAAGAAAGACTGCCATCTGGCGTCGTTTCTTATTTCAATGTCTGAGAGACAGGGGTCCCCTTCTGCATATGCGTATCCCAGGGCGTAGACCAGGGTCGCTGGCAACGTCATGAAAATCACGAAAAACGAAACTGAAAGTAACATGAACGTGGAAACTGTTTTGACATGGTTGTTATCTTGTGGGTGTACCTCTGTTGCATGGCCTGGTTGTGTGGTGACCGGAAGTACGTGGGGTGTTAACTCCCACAATGCCTTAATGACGCAAATGTTTAAACCAAGGATAACAAGAGGAACTAAAGCGAATGCAAACAACTCTGTAGACCACGTCCACACTTTTCCAAACGACCCTTCGCTTTGAAAAATCTCTGGTCTAAATTCACACGTCTTTGTTTTCCCAATATATTGCCATAAATATGCCTGCAGACTGCACATGGAAAACGTAGCCGCTATTATGACAAACACTGTGACTTTGGCCCGTAGTTTGGTACAGTGCAATCCAACCTTCAGAGGAAAACAGACGGCAAAAAATCTTTCTGCTGTGAATGCCAAGACCAACATTGGGGAGAGATATTGGGGCGTGTAGTAAACGATCATGAATACCTCACAAAGCACAGGGTAATTGATTGTTGCTATGTTCCACGCAATTTTCAGTTCCATCACAATGTGAAATATAAGAAAGAGCAAATCTGAAGCTGCAAGAGCTGCCAGGTAGTATGCCGCTGTGTTAGATTTCCGCATGCTACTGCTGCACCATATGGCACAGGCAATTGCATTGCCTATTATCCCAACCACGTACCATATTGGCGTCACGTATCTATCCACAGCTAGAGCCACTGGAGCATAGACATCTAGTATTTCTAACCACTCCATACGGCTGTAAAGGTCAAGTGTACAGTTCACAGTCGAGTTACAAGCACACTCAGGCATTTCAGTGTCCAGGGTTGTACAAGTGATGGATGGAATGAATCGACCTGAATCGGTTGTTGACCTTTAATTGACTTCTAACGTTATGAAAGTGCAGGTGTTCACTTTAAAAGGCGTCCTTTGTTGTCAAAAGGTATCTTTATATTTTGGTGTCCTCTTCTCCAGTAAACGGGCAAATAGAAAAGTGGTGTCCTGTAAAAAAGAAAGAAGACGAGTTTTACTCTCCAAAATAAACAACTTTTTCTTGTGTTACACTGCATTCAGGAAACTGTTTGCAGCTGATTCAAACAGTCTTAACCTTCTCTTTCAACGCACCATCGGCCTCTGTCGCATTCTAGAGGTATGGATTGCAGATATTTAGTGAATATTAATTCTTAAGAGACTTTTTAAGTAGCTTTTCATTATCACTCTGAAAATCGCGCATTTATTCGTCGCCTACGCTCATACTTAGCACTTTGTCTAAGAGTTACATACACTATACTTTGGGTAGTGATACGGAAAACGACAAATGTTTTTATTTTCGGAAAGAAAAAACCTTCTCTCAGATTCAGCTACTGATCACACAACTGCATTAACGATATTTATAGATTTTTCCTCGGGAAGAGTTTAAATATATCAGCCATTCTGCTTCAGAAGTCTTCAACGTCAATGTCTCCTAACAAACGCACAAGAGTGGTTAAATACTAGTACCAATGTGAACATATTGGATTGAAAATGATTGATTTTCCCCTCCTTTTTATCGCTACATTGTAGCACTTTGTCCTTTTGGAAATCCATAAGAAATTGACAGCAAATGCTGTGAGGATGTTCAACATGAAAGATCATCAGTTGCTTCGAATGGGAAGACCATTCATTCAATTCAATTATTTGATAATGCTGTATTTTTTTCACTTTGGTACTGTGC